GTTGGCACTGCATCCTCTGGAGGACACCAGGAAGATAAGTCACATCTGCTCATGACATCTGTTGCCTGGAGATCCCAGATGTATCTGTAGATTGTCTGCTCTGGAGAATCTCCCATAGTGAGCAAGACACGCTCTTGAAGCAGTGTTTGTGGCTAGTGTTACTGGCTGTTGAAAAGAGTTCACTGAGCACCTTTCCCAGGTGACTTGCTTCTGCTCTGTGCTGCTGAGCGGATGCTTTGTGGGTGGGATGTGGTTTTGTTACTGTTCCATTGTTCGACTCTCTTTGAGCACTCTGCCTGTTTGTGATTAATAATGTTATCAGTGGAGGCTCTAAGGTGCTTTCAGACATGCTCCAGGTACCAGAAGTAGAAGAGGTGTTGTTATCATAAAGGTACCTCAGTGTAATATCAAATATAATCAGAAGTTCCTTAATTAAAGTGGTATACACCTAGAAGTCCTTTTATAGTGGATGTTTAAGCAACTTATATGGCAAAATTTAAAGCTTAATTTTTTAGATTTTTGTGACCCTCTCATCTCCACGAGAAGTTGGTGATATGGCAGTAGAGGCCAGGACTGCTGTCAGAGGGCAAACCTCTCCTGCAAAGCCCTCACAGTGAAACGTGTCTCTTGAAACAGGTTGGGAAATGGTGTGTGTTTCTTGATCCTGGCCCCAGCATGCTTTAGGGTTAATACTTATGGCTTACACAACTAGTGTAGGCTGGGATGTAATGGTTGCTTGATTTCATCTGACCTTGGAGTGAGCAAAAACCTGTAGAAAAACTCTATTTATTGTTGGTCTCAGCCCTACCAGGATTAAACCTTCCTTTCTGCAGCACAGCTACTTTTGATGTGTTTGTCCATTAGAAAAAAAATTGCCTGGAGTGCAGCTGCCTCTTCTGTCCAACATGTCAGGCTTTGTGAGGCTGGTGGTTCTTCACCGCCACAGAGAGGAGACTCAAATTTGGATAGGGGAGGGCTTGACAGGATTGAAAGGTGACCTAAATGATTGCCTGAAGCTACCTGTAGCCTCAGTCTGACAAGCACAGACAAAAACTGCCTCCCCATTTCTGTAAACTCAGTGGTAGTGGTGGCTGAGTGATGTGTGTGGCTTCACTAGCTGTGGACGAAGCCAGGAGCCAGCAGACCAGAACCATGAAATTCAGGTGGGGAGGGAGCTGAAACGGCAGCTCCAGCTCAGCCTGCACCAAGATGATAGGGTGGCTTGTTTGGCCCTGGTTCAGTGTACCAATGAACCAAAATGTAAAGCCTTGTCTTTGACATACTTCAGTATTAGCACTCTGTGGGCTGCTTTCCTCCCTAGAGCTACTTGAGTTTACTGGTGGAAAAGGTTGAAAGGGGATTCATTCATAGTTTACAAGTACCTAAAAAGGAAGAGGTTTTTGGTTGCTAGATGAGATTCAGATTTACCAGAGAAAGGCAGGGAGATCTCCTGGCTGGAAGCCAAAGTTAGAGAAGTTCAGACTAGGAATAGCGGCTGCAGTTTAAACAATATAAATAAAAAATAGCAGAAGGTCTTTGACTGGCATTAAGCAGACTCATCAGCAGTTGATGGCTCTGAATGAAGATTTCTTTGTTTTCCTAAAAGATGCTGGAGTTATAAAGAGAGCCTTTCCAGCCCAAAGCAGCCCTTCCAGGATACAAGGGCTGGGTTTCCCTTCGACTGGAGCAGCCTGTGCATGGCTCTGGATGCTGTGTCCCTGGGCTTGGGGCTCTGCCTGCTCTTCCCATGCTCTGTCCAAGCACAGGCCACACATGTGGTGTAGCAGTAAGGCACACAGATGTGCTGGATGTCGGGGAGCACAGCTCTGCTGCTTTGTACACAGTGCTTTTCCCAGACACAGTCTGAAATATTCCTGGATTGCATTACCCTTTCACTGGCATCTCTGGTTCAACCAGAGACTTATAGTCCATGAGGTATGGCTTGCGAGCTGAGTGCACAGTCCTTTTCCCTCCTGTAGTAAGACAGCTGAAGACATGCACTCTGAGGAGGAAATGTTCTCCTTCATTTTTCTGGGCAGGACTCTCTGATGGAAGGGTACAATGCAGGCAAGAGCACCCTGTGTGTGTCAGCTCCATCTCTGCCATGCTTGGCATACATCTTTTTGGACCTGCCTGTTTAGGAATGTCAGGTAATTTATCACTGGTGGCCTAGAGCATCAGGTGCAAGAGGTCCATAATTTTGGGTGAGTTGTGATTCACGTCAGTGGGGAGGACCCAGGTAATAGAGATCTTAGAAGGTTTCTTGCTTGTCCTTGGCCCTGTCCTTCAATAATCTCAGGTTTCTGGGTTTTGCTTTGCTCTTGCCAGCACTTTCTGGGGAGAGGGACAGGGCTGACACGTCTATATCCTAGGCCATAATGCCTACTTCATAATTCTGCAGACCACAAACCTGGAAATTATATGAAGCAGATGCACCACTGCCAAGGTCAGGACCTTCCCAGTATTTAAGGCATATGTATGCTGCTGGCATGGTACAGGGTGACCTCAGTGTACAATAGGAGCCAACTGACACACACATTCAGACAGAATAAATATTTGAGAGTCTATTTCTCTGTTCCCCAAAATGACCCATATAAAAGCAAGATCCTGTTTACCTTCCCAGTTCCCCGTGCACAGTGTTCTGAGAAGAGACAAGATCTCTTCTCCACTCATTGCCTTCCTGCCCTTCTGGGGGACCCATTTCCAGGCAAGGATTAGGACTGTTGGCTTCACAAAGGCCAGGGCACCTTGGGTTTTTCATAGAACTCCTGATATTTGGGGAAAGCTGAGATAATTTTTATTCAGAAGTATCTCTGTCTGTGCTAAAGCACAATGACCTTGGAAGCCATGCAAGAAGTCAAAGTGCAGCCTGAAGCAATGCCTGCAGCTGTCCAAGACCTATTTTGTGCTGTCCCTGTCCCATTAGAATCATAGAATGTCTGCACTGAAGGGACCTCTAAAGGCCACCTAGTCCAACCCCCTCTACAATAAGCAGGGACATCTCTAACTAAGTCAGGTTGCTCAGGGCCCTAGTGATCCCGACCTTGAATGTCTCCAGGGATGGGGACTCCACCACCTCTCTGGGTAACCTGTTCCAGTGGTCAACCATCCTCATATTAAAGAACTTTTTCCTTGTTAACCCATGTGCAGCCCTCTGCATCCGGTTGCCTGTGGCACAAGTTTCTAAGGAGCCTGCAGAAGACTTGGGCATGAAAAATAACAGCTGACAAGAATATTTGGTGGGATTTATTCTTTTTTCCTTGGTGTGCAAAGCATGCTTCCTTTGCACTCCTGGATCTCGTTTGCTTCTTTGCCTTGGTGCCAGTGTAGCTGTTCAACCCAGTCAGTAGGTTTGGCGTGCTTGGGACCAGGCCTGCTGCGTTACCCACACACGTGCTGCCAGTCACCTCTCCTCTCATGGTCACGGACTTCTCTGGGTTTGCCTTTCAGTCACATGAGCTTCACCCAGCCAATCTGTGTTATCCGGAACCCATTCCTATTACCCATTTCTGTCCATTTTTGTACTTCTTAATTAAGGACGACTTAGCTTCTCATACCCTTGCACATAAATCAAAGGACATGAGCGTCCTGAGAGCTTCCCACCACAGCAGCCTATGCCTGATGACTGCTGTGGTTTTTGTTTTGTATAAGATCAATTTCAGTCTAAACAATCTTTAACTAAAACCAATCTACAATAACTTTGCTTGGCACAAAGAATGAGTGGCGGCATATGAAGGTTTACAAAACAGCAGTTGGTCTGATGAAGCCCACCCAGTTCCTCCTACTTTGATTGCTCTTCCATATCGCAGGATCAGAATGCACCAGGCAATTAAAAGGTGGCTTATGTGTATTAGGAAGAGGAAATACTTTACCTGTAACACATTTTAGACAAGTGGAAAGCATTGCTAGCAGTATTCTTAGGGCAAAAGCAGCAACCTGCTATTTTCTTTTTTAAGGCTAATGCTGAGAATAAGCAAGGGAGCTAGAAGTGTGCAGAGCTGCCAGCTGAAAGAAAAATTGCAAGCTTGCTAATCCTTTCTTGCTAGGCTTAATATAAAACCTGGCAGAGACTGATGTGAAGCGTCTCCCTCTCTGCCTGATGTTCCAGGTGATCGTAAAATCACCTCTCTGAAACACCCAGGAAATCTGACATGCAGAGCTAGGCTTCAGACTGGAAAGGCTGCTGGCCAGCCTGACATTGCAGGTCCTAAGAGCATTTTAAATAGCTATATTATTTTGCTTTTCTAACTGCAACCTGGGGAGCAGCTGTCAGTGCTCCCCTTATCCTTTCTGCACGCAGGTTTTGTTGCAGACCCTCTCCGTGGCTGTTACTCTGTTGCTGCTGTCCTGCCAAATGACTGTCTATCTTAGCAGCAGACATGGAACATGGGGCACACGCTGCTGGGCACGTGCTGCAGACATGGGACTGCTCCCCATGACCTGCCCCTGCCCCTTCTACAGCGAAACGCTCCGGCTGTGGTTGGTGGGGCTGTGGGGTTGTCAGCACGCCTGTTGGCAGTGCCAGAGGTCATGTAAGAGTTGGTAATCATCAGCAGCAATGGCAGGGTGCAAGGGAAAATAGTCACCAAAGAGCTTGAGCTCCGGCACAGAATCATAGAATGCTTTTGGGTTGCAACCCTGGCTCTTTAATGGTGGGACTGCCTGGAGCGAAGAGCAAACCCCTGTGCTAGCAGGAGACGTGTGGGTCCTACCTGTGTAAGTGCAGCTGTGGAGCTGTCGAGTCTGGCTACATGGAGTGGAGAAAAGAGTGAGGCAGACCCAAGGGAGTCCCTCTGTTCCCTGTGTGGAGGTTTCTGCCTCTGTGCTCCTTCCTTGCCTGTGTGCTGAGAAAACCTGGGGAGCCAAGCTGGCGTGCAGCCTCTCTCCAGACACCCCATGGCACCAGGGATGGGAATTGCTTTCCCCTGGGGCGGGAGCTTGGTGGGCTCACATTGCTTGCGCACAGTAGATTTCACATTTTGTGGTTTCTCTTTTTGTAGCTGTCCCTCCCAAACTGAAGAAACTGAAAAGCCCAAACGTTCATGTTGGTGAAAAGATTTCACTGAAATGTGAGGCAACTGCTGGAAACCCTCAGCCATCCTACAAGTGGTTTAAAGATGGCAAAGAGCTGAAGAAGAGCAAAGACATCCGGATCAAGTATGGGAATGGGAAGTAAGTATGCTGTGGGGATGCTCTTCCTCTGCTCCCTAGCAATGAGTGTCTAGGTGTGGGGTCACAGGACCAGTCACAGCCCATTTACCATGCCTGGGAGAGTGAGCAAGATTCCCAGTTTCCTCCAAGAGTAGCAGAGTTGCTTGTGAGCAAGATGCACACAAGACAGATGCTGGATTTTAAGGTGGAACGCTCCTGAGGTAACTGTGTCACTGGATATCTGAGATAAGTGTCCATCGACCTAGGGACATAGCTTTCCCTGCTAGCGGTAGACTGGGTGTAGGTAGCTCAGGTTGCCTGGGGTGAATCTTGCTTTGTGATTAGGGGTTTGAACGCAGAAGCTATCCAAACTCATTGGTCACCCCACCAGCCACCAGTTGACCTGCATAAATGTGGGAGGAATCGCTTTGTTCTCTCCTGAATTTAGGTAGACTCCAAAGCATCTAAGACAACAGAAAGGGTGCAAGTGCACATCACAATACTTGCAGGTTGACGGGCCCATAATCACCTCCTGAGGCCTTGTCTCATGCAAGACCTTGCATTGCTGCACCCAGAGCAAAATCTGTCATGGCTGCTCCAAACTGCCCGTTCAGCAAAGCTCTCAGCGAGTGTCATAGAATCATAGACTGGTTGGGGTTGTAAGGGGCCTTAAAGATCATCTAGTTCCAACCCCCATGCCACGGGCAGGGACACCTCCCACTAGACCAGGTTGCACAAGGCTCCATCCAACCTTATCTCAAAAACCTCCAGTAATGGAGCATCTACAGCTTCCCTGGGCAACCTGTTATCATCTCGGGAGCTGCCTCATTTGGGCAGTACAAAAACACTGGGAGAAAGCAGCCTCAGTGACTCCTCTGAGGGCTTCTCAGTGGGAACTGATTTAAAGGGATCTGTGTTGATGTTTTTCATGGCCAAATATTCACATGTGATGCACCCTAAAATTATTCCATAATCATGCCTGTGCTTATATTCATATATCCTGACCTAGCCAGCAGCAAAGTCAGATGGCAACTGCCTGATCCCTTGGAAAACCTGAAACTAATTCTTTGCTAACATGTGTTATCTGGGGGTGTGTGAAAAATAGCTGACCTCTTCTCATTATGGGCTTGATACAATATTAATTTTTAAAATTAGAAGCCACTAAAAAAATCAGTTAGAAAAATCAGTTAGTGCATGAATGGGCCATTGTCAGTAGCTCTAATTTAATTTCAGTCCTGTTGGTTTGGATTTCAAAGTCACATCCAAAATGTGTGACCTCCTTCATAATAGCTGTAGGATTTGTGGCTGTTCTGGAATCAGGCAGAAGGGTGGTCAGTGGAAGGCTTAGGCTAGAAACACCAGCAGATCCAGGATAAGTGGGTGTCATCTGCTCAGGAAGGGCTGTCTGGACTTCCAGGCAGCAGAGAGAGGGCCGAACTGTGCCTGCCCTTTTGCTCTGTTGGCTCAGGATTTCTGTGACTCTTGTCAGCCTCATGGCCTCAGTTGTTTACTGATGGGTACTGGAGCTGGGATGCCCTGGAGGAACGTCTGCACCACCCGCTGCAGCCAGGCATGAGAAGCCTGGTGGTCCATCCGATGTGGACACTGCAGCCCCATGGGCAGGCAGCTTGTGGGACCTTGAGCCCACCAGCGTTGGGGTCTCATAGGGATGCTGGAGAGCTGTTTCCCCCAGAGCTAGAGAGCAGTCGGTCCCTGACCAAACACCCAGCAAAACTCTCTGGAGAGGCATCTTGGAGAAGCACCTCTTGCAGCATTTCCCTGCTATGCTCCCAGAGATCATAGTCCTCCCTTGCCTCCTGGCACCCTGTGTCCAGCACAAAGCTGTGACAGGATGGCATCCCACCCACAGCGGTGCAGTGGGGGCCCCAACTCCCTGTGTCAGGGCCATAAACATATGAAAGAAGGCTGATGCTTTTTCCTCAGGACACTGCTTTCAAGTCATAATTTTGAATTTACCAGTTTCCATGGCAACAGGTTGGCTCACAGCCTGCCAGTGACAGGCCAAAGACATGTGCGTGCTAGAAGTGCTTCCTGGTGGCAAAATAAGCCCAAGGATAAACATTTTAAAGAAAGCTGATCACCTGCCTCCTCCAGTGTCTGAGGCTCCCTTGGCAGCAGAGGTGTGGGCCCACCGTGTCCCTTGCTGATCTGCCTCCAGGAACATTTCTCATCTCTGCTTCTGCTCCTTGCTGTCATTAAAACATGCCATTAAGTGGAGAGGTTGAGGCTGGGGCAGGGGCTTGGTACAGGGACTAGACTCAAGCAGCTGTTGAGCTGGAACAGCTCTGAGTCAATAAACCTTTGCTGACCATTTGCACCTTGTTGAGTAGTCAGCAGTGCAGGAACACTTCTCCAAGCAGATCTGGATGGGTCTGTACACACCTGCCCTGGCATCCTCAGCCTTCAGGCTCTTCTCCACTGGGTTTGCTGGGCCTCAGTGCTTGAGAACACCTCAAGGGCAGAGTGCTTACTGGCATTGGACCTGCCTCCTTCTGGATTTGACTGCATGCTGAGGATGAAGGGAACCCTCATGACTTTGCATTTCTAGTAGCTAATGGTGCTTAGTTTAATAGAAGGACCCAAAACTGGACATGGGATATGAGTGTAGATCTTTTTTTCCAACATGTTAGGAGGGAGTTCCAGGGAAGAATAAACGTCCTCAACTCTAAAGCTCGAAAACAAAGTCTTACTCTATGATGATTAATTCAAGAATAATGGGGTTTATACAACTGGCTCCACTTAGAGATAGCACTGATCTCCAGATAATCCTCTGCTCTTCTTTTCAGTTTGGAGAAGAGTAGGGGTTCCAGAGGGCTAGAAACAGAGCACTAGGGAGGAACTTTCACAGAGGAAGTACAGAAGGTAAAAAGCTTCATGGACTATGCAGCACCTGGCAAGGTACATAGGATAATTTCTTTAAAAGTTTGATCCAAAGACCTAATAGAGTTGTCTGCTGGAGCTGAGCAAAATGAACCCTGACAGGATGTGAAGCTGTTGTCTGTAGTGTTTCCCTTGGCCCTGTGAGTCCCTAGCAGAGGGCTTAGTGGTTGGACTTGATTCTCTCTTCCATCCTAAAGGATTCTGTGGTTCTATGATTCTATAAGAATGGGGCACAGCTCTGCATCGGACTCTTGTCTGGAAGTCTGAAGTCCTTAGACAACATTCAGAGGTTTAGGATGGGAGGTAAGAACATGGCTGTCCTCTGTGACTCATTCCTCTACTGCTCTGGGACCGGCTTTCTTCCCTGTGCTTTTAAAGAGCCTTGAGATCTCTAACTAGAAAGCATGACTGAAGACCTTTTTTTTTTTTGTGATCAGCTTTTTGTCTGATCCAACCAGCCTTCCTAGAGCAGGAGATCTCTTTGGAAATAAGGGGAATATATGTTACAAGGAGGAGAGGAGCAGTTAACAGCGTGACAGGTCTTCAGCTTTTCCATCAATCAACTTCACTCTTAAACTTAAACTTACTAAGTTTATTTATTAAACTTACTGGCATAACCTCTGGTCCCATCAGGCAAAGAAGACTTTTTTTAAATGGCTATTTGCTAGAGGGAGGGGAACAACTCTGATTCCTCCTTTCTGAACTGCGTGTTCCATTTGTAATTAGTAACAGGCTGGGGCAAGCCTGGGTTGCATGAAGAGCAAGCCTCTTTAAGGTGGAAGAAATTATTGGCTGGAATTGTATCTCCAGCTCAATTGAAATAAAATGCAGTTGATAGGGAACCTAGAGAAATTACCCAGAAAGAATTGCATGCAGTAGTGGAAGTACAGCATAGTGAGTGGCTCTCCTTCTGAGTTGCCAAAGCGATGCCATTTTCTGCTGAGTGCATCTGAGATGTGAGGCTGCTGGCTTCCAAGAAGGTTGGGGTTTGACTCTCTGACTGTCCTGGCAAATGGTCAAATGTCAGTTGTGGAGAAAGCCAAGGGGAGCTTCTGTTTGTGGCTGTGTAGAGAACCTACCCCATTTCATGCTGTACTCAAGGCTTGGCTCTGAGACCTGTTGATCTTCAGATGCAGTCAGAGGGACTCCAGGAGCCTGACAGGCTCCTAGCTGTGGCTGTCCTTACAGTCTCTTCTCTTTGTGTGCTCTTTTACCAAGGGAGATTGTTCGGGTGCTGAAGTAGGCGTATCATCAGATTGGAGAGGTTTGGCAGTTCAGTTTGGGTCAGGCTGACCATATGACATCCCTTGAGAGCAGTGTCCTACTTTCAGTATCACCAGGAATCCCTATTGTTAGCCTGTAAGTGGAGCCAAGGGATACCCTCCTCTCCTGTTTCTGTACAGTAGTCCCTCAGGCAATGCTAGTTGGGGCAGATTCATTGCTGGGGTCTTCCTTGTAGAGCTCCCTGCTGTAGATTATTCCCCACCCACAATGAATGGGGCTGTGGTCTTCCCTGTACAGATCACTGCTCTGGAATGAAGGCAAAAAAAAAAATAAAATAATGCCAAAACAGCAGGGGAAAGAGAGTGCCAATAAAGATAAATGATTTCCTAATTAAGCCTGGAGACAAGGAGGGGCAAAGAGAACTGTTGAAGCCTTGTGGGAGCCAGAGTGAACCCAAGCAGGCTATACCACCACTCTGGCAGGGGTCTTCAGGCTGACATTTTTAAACAAAGGAAAAAGCTCATTTGACAATGGATCTTGCAAGAGCAATACCAGATGCCTTGAAGCGAAGACTCTTCTCAAGCACCGGTGTTGTTATAATCACCAGGGGAGCTTCTGCCTTGCTAACTCTCACGATGTCATTATAAGTCTCCGATATCTGGGATTTAGTTTTAGCTGCTGAAAGCACTTTGTTGGAGGGGGGTGTGAAGGACAGCATCTCCTTTGTTTGTCTGTTTGCTGTTTTAAAGGAGATGATGGACATCATCTTGGCCGATGCACCTGGGACTGAACCAGGGAACTTGAGAACTGAAAGGAGAAGCAGTTGGGTCTTGAGCTAGAACAATCCACAAACTTTGCAAGTTGGGGCTCCTAACTGATTCAGGGAATGGGCATTT